TCCTTGCAGAACTATCTAGAGTGCCATCGACGCTTGCTCATGTACTGTACTGTAATAAAATCGAACACCATACCAGAAGGAAGGAAGTGCACATAGATTTGTGTTGATAGAAATGGCTTTGACGTCATGGCACCACAGTGTTATGTAACCATTTTAGCATTGGTGTAAACAGAGGTTCATTGCACATGTTTACCAGCCTTGTTCACCAATGCTGTCACCTGATTTTTTACATCAATGATCACACCAGGACTGATGAGATAGGCCTTCAGTCAGTGTAGGGACCTATGATTACCTGTTGTTACCATGTATTGTGCTGCAGTACTTATGCATGGAAAAGTTCTTTATTGTGCTCAAAAATTAGTCAAAAATTGCCAGTATTTTTGGTATTTTTGGCCTTAACCCCCTTACAGCATTAGAACTGCTAAATGCATTGCTTCAATCTATATTTCAATCAAAAAAACATTGATATAACCATACAGTTCTTAACATCTGCATGGCTGATTTTGATAAAATATGCAAAGTTAAACTGGAGAAGTAGTTGTAAAGTCTGTCGCAAACAAGGGGTTTAATCATACCATGTGTTTTGTCTGTATACCCGTTTACCATGCTTTCAACTGGATTTTTAGCTCATCTGACCATAGTTCAATGCAGTTGTAGAATCGCAATGGATCGCCGTCGTTCCGTGCCGTCCAGGTCCGAGCTTGTCTCGTTCCGGTCAAACAGTTTGGGCACCAAACTCTTAAGGCCGCCTCGACGTACCGTACGGATATTCGCTGGACGTACGGGGGGGATCCGAAAACGAGTTGCGGATGTCGAAGCTGGGGCGGGTCAAAGTCATAGGGTCAAAGGTGTAAAAGAAAGGGGGAACATTGCACTCGTTAACTTAAGGCTATAGAGAGCAAATGCAGAATTGCGGTGGCACAAATCAAACTGGATCTGACCATATTGCTTCGTGATTTCGGTATTATAGCATTATGTAAGGAAAAGCACACTGTGCCGAAAGTTTGAGGGTCACAGAGTCAAAGGTCCACATGGGCACAGGGCAGATTTTAGACATTTTCGTGAGGACATGGTTGTGACGGACGCGATTGAAAAATCTTTTTTTGTTTCAGCGGTTGACCTACGCATTTTATGGCATTATTGAAAGGACCATGAATATCTACTGTTCTGCTGACATGGCGAGACGTAAGGTCAGATAACCGTTATTGACCTCAAGAGGCAGGCGTTAACACATGATTTGCTTGACTGTCTGTTAGAAGATTTGACTGCCGGGTTTGCTAGATAGAATCTATACCATGCTGGACTGTATGAGGCTACAATGTCACAGTGAAATTCAAAAGCTAAATTTGCGTTAATAAGTTTTTATTGCTCCTAAATCGTATAATTTCTCTATGGCATTGTTGTACTGTCAGTATGTTACATGTAACGTATTGCAACTGCAGTGGCTACTGCAGTGCATGTGTTATTGGTATGTGTTGTTTTTGCACTGCATTAATTGGTTACAGGGTGGCCAGCTGTCTATTGCCAGCTGTAGGCTTGCGTAGGTAAATGGATGGTTCTTACCTATTCTTCTTGAAAATAGTTTGTCTGCATACTTACGTACGATGGAGAGCTTCAATCTCTTAATAACTGACAGAACTTAAGACGTCACGCGCCATCTCGCTGGCCAAATTTACATTAACGACCAACGAACAATTCCTTTGAGAAGGTTCCTGATAGCCATCCCTGGCATTCCACTTTTCGGGTTTTCTGTATCGTGAACATTTGGGAACTACAGGGTTTACTGAGTAGAATCCCACCACTCCCACAGAGTCACCGCAGTAGACGTTAGATGAAGCGCGTGTCGCTCGCCGCAGCTTTTATATCAATGATACACCACGATGATGGATGGCGAGCTTCACGTCAGGTAGGACCTGATTATACTTGTTGTACCATGTAATTGGTAGGCCGTATGCTGGAAAAACGTCTTTATTTTATTAGTCAAAATATATCAAAAATGACAGATTTTGGATAGTTTTTGGGCCCCTGTAACCCCCTAGACAGTATAGAGAACTGCCTAAATGCATTGCTTTCATTCTAGTTTTCAATCCAAAAAATTGAATATAAACCATCAGTTCTAAATACTGCACCGGCTGCATTTGATTAAAATATGCAAGTAAAGGAAAAAGTATTTTCAGTCTGTATTGCAAACAAGGGGTATAATGTACCATGTGTACCCGCTTTACCATGCTGAAAACTAATTTTTTATGCAATAGCACATCTAGCCATGATAGAGTCAGATCTGACACAGTGATGAACATGTAATTGTGAAATAGTGCAAGAAAATATACATTTTTTGGTCGAAATCGCCAAAAAATGCCAAATTTGGGGTATAGAATTTTGGCCCGCCTTAACCCCCTTAGCAGCATAAAACTGCCTCAAATACATTGCTACATATCTATTTCAATAAAATACATTGATATAACCATCAATTATAAAATATAATGGGGTTGATTTAATAAAATAAGCAAGTAACTGAAAATGACATTTTTTCAGATTTTACCATAAAAAAAGGGTTAATTCGGCATGTTGGCCAAGGTTGCTGCAACTACAACATGGCTTTTCATAAACTAGGGATCCAGACGGTTAAAATGAGACCATTCCCAGCTTGTTATACCTCCGGTAGGGGTGCACTTAATTTTTGGGGTCTCGGCCGCTGCACTAGGTCACATACGTTGACATTTCTGTTTAGCGGCACTACAATACCAAAGGCGCTTTTTATCCCGTTTAGTTCGAATAGCAGTCATTGGAATGCAGTTGGAGTGCTTTTCCAATTATGTGATGATGTGCGTCGTTTGTTTCACTCTTGGTAGCCCTACTCATTCAAGTTGTCTTTATTTATTTTTGTGTGCATTCCTGAAATTGCTTGCATTGCATAAAATAATATCAAGAGCGTATAAAGAAGGAGAGCGTACAACGGTGAAATGCTGAAACCATGTTGCAGTATTAGTCGAATTAATAAACTTTTCCCGTTTTATTTTGACGATTCTTTGCAGTATTATTGATCAGCTGTCCTACCTTGTTAATATAAAACAAACCGCATGTCCCTACGATGCCTCTATGCTGAGGTAATGAGCGGGGAAAATCTGGTATTTTTGCCGAAAACCGACTCCAGATCAGTCAGACTCAGTACTGCGACTGTCTCTCGTTTTGTGCACTGTATGTTGCTTCCAGTCGCCGCTGTGTAGCGCTGCCTCGATACGTTATTACTACAGCGTTACTACATCCAGCGTAAGGGGCGGGTCATCACCATGGCGATAAATAACAAGACGTTTTTGTGGAGTAATGGCTACGTCAATGACTGGAAATGCGAGAAAAGATAGTAGAAGGAAAATAAATTTCATTGTCAATGAATGACGGAAACACGCGTGGTTTCCTGAAGCTATCGCCAGAACGAGAGACAGTCGCAGTACTGACTGATCTGGAGTCGGTTTTCGGCGAAAATACCAGATTTTCACCGCTCATTATCTCAGCGTAGGGGCATCGTAGGGACAAGCGGTTTGTTTTATATTAGGCCAAAACAAAATATATGTGTGGTTACCGTTAACATGCCGAAAAAAATAGGGTAGGTAGGTAGGGAAAACAATTTATTTTCTTGAAATATTTTATTTACGAACCATGTCCGAAGGATGTGCGTTGTGCCTTTTGAAGCAGGAACTGTCCAATTCATATTTTTTTAATTTAAAATTTTTGTTTAAATTTTTGTTTTTTGACTTTAAAGAAAATTGACAATAAAATGTTTAGGGTCGCTGGGAATAAATAGGGTCGGTCGGGAAACGTAACCACACCTATATTTTGTTTTGGCGTTAGCAAGGTAGGACAGCTGATCAATAATACTGCAAAGAATCGTCAAAATAAAACGGGAAAAGTTTATATAATTAATTCGACTAATACTGCAACATGGTTTCAGCATTTCATTGTTGTACGCTCTTGATAATATCAGGAGTAGATAATAGAGAATCCCTATTATCTACTCCTGATAATATGAATAATATCTCGATTGCTTACAACACGTATCCGAATGGTAAAGCATTCAGGAATGCTGTGCTAGATGTATACATGTTTCATGGATAAAATGTAGTTTTAGCTTGTTTGTCAACAACTAAAAACTGATAGGACTGCGAAGATGTCCCAGTGATCATTTAGTATTTTTTATGAAAAATCAATAGGATGACCTTCGTTAAAAACATTTATCCATTATAATATTATATGTGCCAGTAATGTCGTGTGGCATGATGCAGACTTCCTATTTAGTACATGGGGCAATCAGCAGAGATCGCGGCACTGTGGCTCCAGCCAACCTGTTTATATCGTGTTTTTTTTACTCGTGTTCGTTCTTTAATCTCCCTGACAGGCTAGTAGATAAAAAAAACATTTGTTCTTGGAACCTGCTGCTCTATATCTTGCTATCGATGTACTTATGTGTACACACACATTAGCTACCGCTGTATTGCCATTAGCATTATAGCAGCTTACATATATATATAAGTATCGATTCAAGGCTTGTTGAAGCAGCTGTGCAGGTGTGTAAGTGGGATACAGCAGGATGCAGACCTGTAGCAAATTCGGTACTGCCATAAACCTGTCGCTGAATAGAGAACACGCGTTCATTAGGTGACTTTGTGTCACTGATGAGCGTACGCGAATAAGTAGTTGATGCAAAACATGATATTACAAAAGTTAACACGTGAAGTTGTGTATGAAATTATGAATTGAAAATTAAAATTGTTTATTTAATAAAGAAAAATTGGTGAATAATTGTAAATGTTTAGAAATGAAAAATTTGTGGAATTTGAATGTCAAAACAGTATCACAGATATCAAAGCATCATCGCAATTGGTTTTGGTGTGGTAATTCATGCGAGCATTTCTTGAATCATGTTTAAAACGTAATAAAAGTGTCATGATAAATTACAAACATCAGGCTGTAATTATAATGGGACTATTGAATAATCTTTGCAGGTATATGTACCAAGAGCTTTCGTCACCTCTACTAGAATCCATGAAAGCATCTGTGATAGCAGGTAATGATGAATTAACATGTATATATATATATACCTGCAATTGCCCACAATTGTAGGTAATTGTGGGTTGTGAAACCGATACTAGAGAAGCCAAGTATACATTGCAACCGTTTACATTCACACATGAGCTTAATGATGTGTTTGTCAGTTAGCTGCTTCACGGTAGTAATCGTGCAGCATTAGTGCATTACACACTCTATTAGTATTAACGGTTGGCACGTTTTTGTCATTATATGAACAGTGCATAGTTCATTAATGTCGATTGACAGGCAATCGATATGTCAGCTATATTACGCAGAATCTGTTCAGTGTGATAGCATGTGTGAAGTGTATACATATGGTCAGGACAGGAGTGTATAATATATGAAGAGAGTATGATCTCTTGACAGTATCTCTATAGAGAGACTATCTCTAGATAGCATCTCTATAGAGAGAGTATCTATATATCTCTATATAGAGAGAGAGTAACTCTATATTATACACTTCTGATATGGTTACGTGACTCAGGTACTACCTGCCTGACTGTATCAGGAGTCTATCAATATTGATAGACTCCTGACTGTATGTATGCGTGCACAACTACACCCCGATTTAGTTGGGTGCTTTACAATCAATGTAGGTATAGACCTAGGTATAGAGAGGGGTTTAACAGGTAGTTAGCTTACGAAATAGAGCACAGCAGGTGCTCATTATCTCACTGCTGTCTGACAGATGGTTTACATCAATAGGCTCATTCGTGGCCTGTGCTTCGTGCATGATCGATATTTTATATGTGCCGAGGGCTAGCCCTCGTGGGGGAGCGGTGATCGAACTGTCGTAGATTCTCGATAGGCAACTTCAGCCATGTAGGAAGTAATAAAGGAAAGGAAAAGAAAGAAGAAGAAAATTGCATAATTTCAGGGTTGGGGGTGGGGGGTTGAGGTGATAAGGAATTAGCATACATGTGGTGAAGCACTAGACGGGCTGTATAAACTGCAGCGTTTGGTACATATTCACCGCAGTGCTTTTCTAGCTACTGCAGCTGTTGTCTTGTGAGTTTATTCAGTGGCGTTCGTTCATGAAAATGAGCAAGAATTCAATCGCCTTTAAGTATGAATTAATAATCGCTTGGTGTAGTTTTACTTGGTACATACATGCACAGAGCTGTACGAAATTAGGAAGCAAACAACATGCAAACGTGAACGCTTGGGAAATCAGTAGCGGAACATGTACATTTTGTTTAAATTTAGCTATTGTAATCAGTAGTGAAAAACATATATAACTACTGAAATTGTATTAAAATTCTATATGTACACACTCGAAAATCATGAAAATATGCATATTTTTCAAGTTCATGTCGTTTATAGGCAGGGGCTCTGATATAATAGAGCTGGTTTGACTGTATAACCAGCACTCAATGAAAAGCCTACAAGTGCCCTATTATAGACCGATGTCCATTTTATATAGTTGGTCTCACCGCATAATTGCCACTCGAGGGAAACTGTTAAAACTCTCCTTTAGAGACAGGTGCCCATTCTATAGAGGTGTGCGTTGACGCGGGTTTCGTACATGCGCCTCGGGTGTGAGGACGCCAGACGACGTCTACGTTTGTTGTTTCTTATCGTTGTTTACGTATAATAATATTGTTGTTATTTGTTTGTTGTACGTTGTTTCTCGTTCGTTTCAGCCAGCAAGAAGCCTGTCGTACGCAATCAGACGCTGGTGCACTGCATGGAGTGGTTCAAGCTGAATGCGCACAGCCACGTGTCCGGCCAGTATTACTCACTAGTCAAGGTGCGACAACTAGTAGTATAGGTTGGAACGAAGGTTATACGCCATACGCCACGCGTGCACGCGAACGTCTGTCTCTCTATACACTCGTGATTAACGTGCTAGTGATATTGATTGTGAAAATGCAGTAATCATTGATTGTAGAAATGCAGTAATATTGATTGAAAAAGTGCAGTAATAATTATATAGATCGTAAAAGTGAAGTAATATTGAATGTAAAAATGCAGTAATAATGATTGTAGAAAAGCAGTAATAATAATTGCAAAAGTGCAGTAATATTGATTGTAAAAATGCAGTAATAATGATTGTAGAAAAGCAGTAATAATGATTGCAAAAGTGCAGTAATATTGATTGTAAAAATGCAGTAATAATGATTGTAGAAAA